ACAGAAACAGAAACTTTTTTATTCAATATAGATTATAAATAATACTTATTGAAAGTCACTCTTTTGTTTAATTACCACTGGTTCGAAAAAAAATCCTCTACACAACACTACTACTCTACAATTAATTTATATTATAAACAATAACATAGAATAATACGTGTCACTCTATATCTAACAATTAAAATGGAAGATTTATGTGGGCTTTCAATACAGATAATTGATATGATATTATTTGTTATGATGACTTTTTATCTCTGCATTGCCTCTGATGTGTTGTTTTCCAATCAAATGCAGCACAGTGATTTGTCCCTGTATTTATATCTGAAGGTGGAGAGAATTCTACAAATTATAGTAGGTATATATAATGCTGCTTTCAAATTATGGATTTGGATTTTGAAAGTACAATTGTATTTCTCGGACGTTCTAGTAAATTTAAATTCTATTGGGGAACAATTTTCACAATTAGAAGGATTAGAGAACTGACTGATAAAGCATCATGTAACATACTATAGGCTATAATTTTAAGTACATTTGCGCTTAAAATTCTTTTCAATTCTGCTCATCAGCATAATACGGGTGTACCAAAAGTCGAATGCTAGTTGCTTCTGTGTAACCTAGTTTACAACTTTGTAATTTAAATTCTACTGACGCATGGTGCCATAAAGTATTTCGTTTTACTGCAGAAATTTAACTCCGGTTTAAGTGAGAATAAGGGATTATTTTTTAATTTGCAGTTTTTCTCCCGCTCATTTGAAATATTTAGACAATGAAAATGTATAAATTATGTGAAATATATTACGAGAATTTGAGTCCCTGCGCAGTAGTCTTTTATTTTTGTTATGTATGTCAGTTCGGTATTTTTATGTACTGCAAAACAGAGGCAAATATATCTTAAAAAAAGCTGCACTGCTGAAGAAGGTATACGTGGGTAACCCCATAGTTAATCTATTATACCTATATCTAAAAACATTATATTCCAATGATATTCAGCATACTTGTAATTTACTTTAACGTAAGTATATTCTTTAATAATATGCTCAACTTAAATTCTGACAGTAATAATTTAAACATGTTTACATATCATAAACCATAGAAGGTAGATGTGATCTTAAAAAAAAATATAGGCAGTATACGTTATCAAACACTGAAATTTTCCAAGTTGCCATTTTCATATATTGATCTTCTAAATTTGACGTATTTTACTGAAAGCCAATACTAAAGTTGGTTAATCGATCAATGTTTATGACTAGGATACTGCTTTTTACATAACGTTAAACCTTACTGATGTAGTAACTCACCCGGCTGACAGAAATTGCGGACCATTTAAAACACCTACATACTTATAGAACACATACTGCTGAACAGATATCATTGTAACCAAACACGTTTGTTCACATTCATTAATTCAATTATTCGCAACTCAAATAGAAATACCTCCCTCGTAGATTGCTTCATAGGGGTATGTTTGTCATAGTTGCCGTGATTGACAGGCGGGTGTGCAACTGCAGTTATTATTTAGAATTTTTACTAAAAAGACACCAGCCAACCCTTACGAAACCAATGGGATAAAATGGAGTAGTCAAATCTCTTATAACACAACCACACGACCGAATATTGAAAATTAAATAAAATTTAATGTAATCAAATACTTAATTTTTACCTATCTAAGCCCATATTTTGGATAAACACGGATCGAATATTAGGGCTAGGGATCGGAATTTTTTACGGGGTAGAGCTATGCTGCAGCTGTATTAATAATATAGTTGTAGCACAAATGGGTCAGCTCGACCGGGGAAGGACCAGGCTCTCACAGAATACCAGCGTAAAATAACAGCTTAATGCTGCTGTGTTTCGTATGGTGAGTGTAGAGAACCGGAGACCCATTTTACTGGAAAAGAGGCATTCCATCTTAGTCCTCACGGCTGACAACGCATCTGCATTTTAATTCGCAAACGAAGGTAGATGTCTATGGGCCACAGTAACCACTTACCATCAGGTGGACTGTGTGCTCGTTTGTCACCCTTATACTATAAAAAAAGGGCATAAGATCCTAGCTATTCCCTTGGCGATTATAGGTATGACCTCTATGGACGTTATTTTGATTTTGTAGAATAGAATAGAATAAGTCATTTATAGTGATAGCTATAGGTTTTAGAGATTTAACATAATACTAGTAATTAAGTATCACCACAACCTGTCCAGATGAAGGTATTATTAAAATCATGAAATTTAAAACATTATATTATGAAGATATTTTTACGAATTATCCTATAAATATGTTCAAAATACAAAATGTTATTGAATATTTAAAGAGATTTTGGAAACTGCTGCAAAATCTGTGTCATGTAGTTGTTACGTTTGTCCTAAACAACTTTTATTTTTGTTCATATCTGATAATAAGTACTACCATTAAACCAATATATTTCTAGGGTATCTTAGATGTGACTTGAGTAAATTACAGTATAGACATAATTTCGTTTTCACAAAACTAAGACGATCTTAAAACGATAAACAATAATTTGCGATTTTTACGTATCTTATTTTTCTAAGTAGTGTGCTTAAAAATGTCAATATTATTAGCATAATTAATACTTCTTGTTGCTTTATAAAATATCTGGCACTAGTCAGTTAGTCCACGTAGTAGTCGAAAACAATTGGATATAAAATAAAATTTGGTCGATACTTTCGGGCAACCGACATACAGCTGGCCGTGTGAAAAAAACATGGAGTGAGATCCTCCCAAATGAATATCCACAAACGTTCAAGTCTTATCCTGGGATTTACATATTATGCATGGTCATGGTAAATTGTTTAGTGTAATCCAGAAATTTTTAATTTAAAGTGGTAAGTTATTTTGCCAGATATTGATTTAATACCAAGTTATCAATGAAAGTCAACGCCGGCCATATACACGTCATCTATTGATAATGCGTCTTTGTATTAATCCCATAGCTAGAAAGAAATTGTGACGAAGTGTGTTATATTATTTTTGGCGTGAATTATGTCATAATACACACAAGCGTGGAATTTGATTAATATTCGGATACATTTAATTACCACGAGAATTTTGCATTTTTTATCGAGCTAAAAGCATTATGATGTCTTGTTTTAGAACTTGGGAAATCTCTTCACCGAAATTTAAATTCATTCAGCTGTATGTGAAGTACGATAAAAATAATTTGCTAAATGCCAAATAGATATCCCACAGGAATAGTGCATTATTTTCTAAATAAATAAAAAGTGTTCTGTGAGTTATCGGAAGACAGATTTAATCAAAATCCGCTCGGCCGTTATGACATGGAGAGGTTATTACAGATTTATGCTCCAGACCTATTCCATAGGAACCGTGCATTTTTTTTGGTATAAAAAGTCTATGCCAATCTCCGGCCTATAAAAAGTGACAATGATCCATTTCTCTATTAATGTGTGAAATAAGGATAAACCACGTATACATTGTCGTATTTATATAATTATATGTTATAAGTCAGATATCTAATTTTAATAATTTAAGTTAATTGTTGAAATTTATATTTAAAACATTTATTTTAAAAATTTTGAGTATTTGCCTTAATAACATTACGGATTGGTTTCAATTCCTTTTCTTTGGATATATTGTTTAATGTTACGAGAACATTCCTTACAACCCTTTTCTTAATCATGTAAATTATTTTACATGATTTTACTTTTTGTAAATATCAATGATGATGATGATGATGATGGTGCAGTACTAGTTGTTACTAACAGCTCTCAAACTTGGTATTAAATATTTGGTCAAATTGGCTCACAGATGGTATTTAAAATACAGATATTAGCAAAACATTATCCAACAGATTTGAATCTTTTTTTTTTATTTGGTACTATAATTTGTTCATCGTCGCCCAATTCGTCCCGTGGGTGCCTACTACGGCTAAGGCCAGAAAAATTTATTGTTTGTGTCTAAGGCCGGTATAGTCATCTCGTTAACGACAAAGTTGCGAGACGTCATACCACTGCGATCGCCATTTCATCTCCCAAGTGTAACGATTAAGCCTACTTCTCCATACAACGGCGGAAGCCCATATCGGGTTGAGGAATTTAATGGGCCGGTAAAAAAAGAAGAAAGAAAGATTTGTTTCGGTGTTCATCATTGTTTTTGGGACAATTATTCATACTTAGAATTTATTTAATCCCTTAAATTTACATTTATATTTCTAAATTATAAACCTATTATCTTCTTATCTTATTATCTATTTACCTATTGCGTTTTTAATTAAATTATTGTTATTTTACTAAGCTTAGCTAAAACATTATTCTATTTAAGTTAAAGAGTACTAATAACAATTCGCTGAATTAAAAAAAATAGCTTGACATTCTACCGATAAATATATCAATAAGGCATTCTAGAATTCGTTTATATATAAGTTTTTATTAATAAATAAATTACTTTTAAAGAAGCTTAATAATTATTAAATTTAAATATTTTTTTTGTTACAGATTGACTAAAAATGGGGGGAAGAATCGCCAGCATTATATACATTCTTATTACTATTTCATTAGTAAATGAGATGTCAACAGTACAAGCAAAAGATAATAATAAGAGACGGTCCAAAGAAAAAACAGGAGGCTTTCGAAAAAATATTTGCGACATTACTGATCGCGATTCTAAAGTTCATTGCTATTGTGAGAACGCAAGAGAACCAAGGAATGCTACAAAAGCAGAATGTTGGGTATTTAATGGCGGAATACCGCCTGACGATTATGTCTGGCAAAGCTTCGCTTCACAACCAACTTTACAAACTTTGTCATTTAACGTTCGCGTCGATGGTGCACTAAGCTATGTGCCCACAAAGGCACTCCAGTACTTACAAGGACTCCGATCCATTAACATTAAATATGGGAACATCATTGACGTCACAACTTTTGCATTTGCGAATTTAACTTACTTAAAAGAGGTAACTTTATCGCAGAATCAAGTAGAAATATTATAGCAATACGCATTTGCACATTTACCTAACCTTACTATGATAAATTTAGAAGAAAATATGATTATGGAAATAGGACGAGACTCATTCTTTGATTTGCCAAAGTTACAGAAACTGACTTTCACGAAAAACAACATATCACATATTGAGGATGGTGCATTTCAACACACTTTTAATTTACTGGAATTGGATTTAAATAAAAATAATATACAGTACTTAAATCGTCACACATTTGATGGATTAGCTAATCTGCGTAAGCTTGACCTTAGAAGGAATCATATATATAACTTAACTGAGTTTACTTTCGCTGAATTATGGAATTTGCAAGAGCTGCTGCTTGGAAAAAACGATTTAAAATATATTTCCGAGAGGGCCTTTGATGGACTGTCTCAACTTGCGAAGCTGTCCCTTGATGATAATAAACTTGCGGCATTACCCTCCGGTTTGTTTGAAGGCGTAAGGGGTCTCAGCTCTCTCGATTTGCGTTCAAACGAACTACGCGCTTTAACTTACGATAACATCAAGCCCATATTGGATAACTTGAAGCCACCAACCAGCAATTTACTCTTAGAAGGTAATAACTAATATTTATTAATTACCTGTAGAATGTGTCATTGATTATTTTAAAATATCGTATTTTGAAACAGAAACAGAAACTTTTTATTCAATATAGATTAAAAATAGTACTTATTGAAAGTCGCTATTTTGTTTAATTACACTGATTCAAAAAATACCTGTGTCCTGGAAAGAACCAGCAAGAAACCCAGCGGGATTTTTCTTTAAAAATAACAGGTTACAGTCATGTATGTTACACAATTAACCACACAAAACAAATTAGAAATAGATTGGTATCGATCACTTCATTGTTATGTATTATTATAATCGTTATAAATTATTTCAATGATAAATGTCAAATTTATAAAATGCTAATTTTAATAAATCTAAGCAATAGCTTTGAAAGTTCAAATACAGATACCATGCAGTTTTAACCTATAAGTCTGATTTAATTATTCTGAGTTCATATAAAAACGATTTACAGGCTTTTAATCTATATTTAGATCTTAATTGAAAGTAAAAACTGTGTAGTCAGGTTTTTTTTACATAGCGGCAATTTGTGATTAGATATTTACCAATGAACAAGAAATAGTTTGCCAAAAATATACATAATACACGATGCAAATTCCTATCATTCAATGAAATTTTTCGTTAGGAGGAATTTTAAATTTTGTAAAAATGCTTTCGGTATTCAAACGCTGGGACCTTAATTGCAAGTAGGCACATAGCTGAAATAATAAAACCATGAGTATTTTTTTATATTTTAATTTACCAATGCTCATTCATTCATTTGTTTGTTAAATACCTTTTAAAATCCATTGATGAACACAGGCCTCCCCATCGGTTACCACATTAGGGAGACACAAACGACAGTTAACACGCTTAGCAAGTTGGCTGTTTCAACCGCAGTCTTTTATTTCCAGGTTATTATTAGGAACCTGCCAAACGACGCAGCAGAAGTGAGTGTCGTAAAAGGTGACTGAGACAAACAAACCATGAGATGACCATACGCATAATTTGCAAATAATTGCTGTGACTATTATTTGAAACAATTCTGTTTTTTTTAATATTTTGCGTATCGTTTGCTGTGCTCCAGCATTAGGTTAATGTATATATGAGTATTGTTAAAATTAATATAAATATATTAATAAAAAAAAAACAATTACTAAACGAGGAAATAAAAAATATTGCTGACTAATAACGTCATTGTATAAGTGACTGGAACAGCATTTTATTACATTGACGAAAAAATTAGCAGACTGCTAATGTTGATTAATAAAAAAAGTTTAAACCGAGCTGCAAAACATTATATCTATCATTTATTGTAAAATTTAAGAAGTGCGATTTAAATACTAAATAAGTAAATTAGCATCTAAAATACTAAGTGACAGACCAGTAGGTTAAGGTATGGCTGCAAAGACTTCAGCGTCGAATGCCGCCAAAATTATAAATTCTTTATAATAAAAATCAATTGCTTCCCGTTAGTCCGAAAACTAAAATTTGAAAATGGTTCGCCCGACTTTGATTAAATTTTTGTGTGTAAGTGGGTCCCTGGATGGTTTATATTCTCAATTAATCCCGGTAGGTGGCGCTGTTGTCGACATTTCGTAATCACCCGTGTGTTTTCTTATCACATCAACTTGAGTAAAGTCTCAATTATAATAAAAAAATGCCAAATGTTTAATACTTAAAATATTGTTGCTCAAACACAAGTTAGGTCGCTCAGGAAATATCACGCAGCTACTCATAAATAATTGGCAGATTATAAAAAAAATTATTCATCACATTAGTCACTATTTCAGAATTTCTAGTCGCTTACAGCTTATTTCTTATTAAGCATTTTAATAACCAGTATTAACTTTTTTGAAAAACTTGAATTGAAAAAAAAAAAAAGAATTTCATATAAATAATAGCCTTTTTAAAATATATATTTAAAGTTTTGCATAATCTTGCTTTTCTCTTCATTTCGTGTCTTCAATTAGTAAAATGAAACACTTACATATATTACTATCACCACCTTAGCGTCTATTTTTATGACTATTACAAACACTTACGAAAATGCTTAAATTTCGGCATAGTTATTAAATACGGTTACCAAAATGCAGACATGAGTTTCGAAGTTTCGAAACTCGTTGGAATTAAGAAGGAAGTTATTTCTTTTATTATCGTAAGGAGTGTTAGTTAAATTCACGTTTTAATAACGTATGATAATAAAATACAATTAAACTTTATTTATTATTTTTCCGAATGCATTGTTTTGATTCACGGCATCAAAAAAAATTAAAATAATATAATGTATTAAAGTAAAGTTGAATTGCAAAATTATTCCATAGCATGAACCATCTAATAACTAAGCTGACGCACTTGCACAATTTCATTTTTTTATATTTATTTATTAAATAACTCTAACTTTTATCTTATCATTACAGAAAACAACTTCGTATGTGACTGCAGATTGAAATGGATGCACACGCTGCGAGATGAAACAAAAAGTCAGAGCACAAAGGAGTCACTAGAGAGTGTCACCTGCAAGATTGACCCACCCATCGTTAGTTCCGCTTACAATAAGATGGCTGATACTGACAGTAAATTAGATTTTAACAAGGAAATATTACATGCTGGGATAACAATTGAAACCATAGATAAAAATAACATAACCGACAAAAAAACTACAGCAGAGGATTTGTCTAAAGATCACGTTAACGATATCCTTATACAGGCAGCAAAGAAAGGAGTAAAGAGAACAGTGTTAAAAATACCACCAGAAACTTTACCTTGCCCTATAGAAAAAAGGACAACGACGGAATTGGTCCCTTACATGATAGATCCGGTAATACCAATTCAAAATGAAATGAAGACGTTTAGATTGCAGGAAATGAACAAAAGTTCGAGAGTTCATTTTATGGCGACCATCATAGCGTGGAACGTTTGTTTTGCATTTTTCTTTACACAAAATATCTTAGTAAATTTTAATGTATTTTAGATATAAAATGGGAGATTCAGACTTTACTTAGGTATGAGAATGTAATAAACGAAAAATTCATTGTTATAAGAACTTGCCGACGCACACAGTTTTAATTAGATGGATTTCATATTCCCTTGCCTTTATTTAATTATAACTGAACACTTATACAATAATATACAATAATATTACAATAATATTTAAAAAAATTAATGAGCTAAAAAATTAAGCTCAATTGTTTGCGTCATTATCAACACCACCACTTTTAACACCCCTGCATTAGGAAAGACACATAACTGTTTATAATGCGCCACGTATTTCGCTTATAAACGAGGCATCACCAGGAGAAATATACTCTGCGATGGTGACCTCTAAAAATACCATTTACAAAATTACATCCTTTTTTCACATAAATATCATACACAATGTATATATAAATGCATACATGACACGTCTGTAATAGCTGAGAGGGTAAGCAGAGTCCAAAGAGCAGCAAGCCACTTAGTTTAGGGAAGAAATATGGATACAGATGAAATATTGCGTATATATAAGTTATAGGTGGCTAGCCCACCTACACAATTACAAACCCAGTATCTATCGCCATTTACGACATGCTAGGCACTTAAACATAAGACCTTTATGTACTCGTATATATAAAATCACTTATTTCTGGGAATACCATTTAATAACGTAGTAATTTTTTTTGATAATATTTTTGTTTAATAATACGTACTTTTATTATAAAAATTATAAAGAAACTCTAAAGGTTTTAATAAATGTGTAAAAGTTATTGTAAAAATTAAGAAAATAATTAACATTCATTAAACATTTTGTTAATAAATTAATATTTGTCGTTGTCGGTGTTAATTTAAAACTATAATTATATAAGCACTTGATAGTAATATATTACTGACATATTTGTGTGTATAGTCACGGTTATAATTTATTATATTAAATTATTAACTAATGAATAAGATAACATTTTAATTAAGAAATAATTGTATAAAATATGACGACTAAATATTATATGAGGTTATAATATATTAAAAATACCACATTGCAACACGTATATGCCCTCTTTTATTAGCTGTAGAAAGAACTAAACTGTTTTAAATGTTTTACACGTAATATTATCATACTCGTACTTACGCTTACCGCTTAATGAATAAATAAAGCGCAAAAAATCCTTTCAAGAGAAGCACGATTTTTTATAGATAATAAATATCTCCGTAAGAATATAAAGTAGCAATGTGGTATTTTGTTATAGTGAAAAATAAGGTATGAGCATATTTAAGGTTCCGTAGTTACATTTAAAATTCGATATTTCCAACTGTTCCAACCACCTTAGATTTTTCGTTAAGTAAATATTACTAACGTAATTATTTTCTGACCCAGTCTTTTTCTAGTTCTCATATCTAGTCGTGTATTATTTAAAAAATAACATATTAAAATAAAAATAAAAATAGAAATTTGCTTTAGTATTCGAAATGTTGTAAATAAGCCTGCAATTTATCACACTCCACTCGCCATTTCAAGTTTTTTGCAACTGAAAACCAGAAGTATTCTTCTTTTCCTTCTTCATCGTCAGTATGTGAAAGTCTACTGCTGAACATGGACCCTCTAATACTAAAGACAATCTGCCTAAATCGTCATGCTTTAACTCAATCGGATTGATTGACGATGACAATTTCCCGTCGCCACTCTCGGGATTTTAAGCCTGAGGTAAGCTAAATGATTATATCGTCAAGTGTCGAAAGACAACACACATTTTTGGCATATGACATTGTCACCTCTAATGATACTCTGATGTGGGACGAAATGGGGTGATATATTCTCTAACGCCGCCATGACACGGCAAGCAAAATATTTACAAATTAGTTATTACTGTGTCAACGTGGGTCAACGGGTACTGTATCATGAGAATACTACCACACACATGTGTCAATAGACACTTGACCAATTATGCAATAATTTATTTATGTAATGGTTTTGTTTAAACTTAAAACACGTCATCAATATCATCATCGTCATCATCATAACAGCCCTTCACAAGTCCACTGCTGAACAAAGGCCTCCCTAAAGACAACAGCGCCATCTACCGGGTTCAATTGTGAATCGTTAAGTTCGTCCAGGAACCCACTTAAACACAAACTAGAAGTTTCATAAAATCGGTCCCACCATTTTCGAGTTTTTGCGAGATTAGCGGACAGCAATTAATTATTATGTAGGTATAATATAGAAATAACACTCTGTTGCAGAATTTTTATGCCCTTAAATTTTGTTTGAATATTAATTTCCTAATTGAAGCATTAGTAGTTTACTCCCAAATATAATAATTTTATCTCCCTTTATCCATAGAATTTGTGATAATCGTTACGCTTGGCAAGGGGACCGTCGTAGTACTAATAGTTCTGGGTCTGGATGTTTGTGCTTGTCAAATTTATGTCTGTAATTTGCCCAGCCCCCACGATACAGGAAACAAATCCTTGTGTGGAGGTAATGGTTTAAAAAAAAAGTAATAATAGAAGTAGTAATATTTTTTTTCGGAGGATCGAGGAATCGGTGCTTAGTCAGATTATAATTTAGTTGATTAATAACTTTTATCTGACAGTTGAAAATAATTTTTCATTTTCTTTTTCAATTGCAAAATAAGCCTTAAGTTCATTAAACTATAATTTCCAATAATCTGAAAGAGATAATCACTTTGGCTACTTTATATCGATTAAATAATAAAATTAATTCAACTTAATAAAAGCTAGGAGACCGCTGCTGGCTAGGAAACATAAAAGGTATCCAATATGTTCATTAAATAATGATTTTTTTCTACATTTTGTACATTTGTTTACTAAAATCCGCAGCGTTTGAAATTTTGCTTTATGGTAAGTTGAAATTTTGCTTTATAATTCATACCAATATACATTGATATGTTTGAATAATAATCATATATTGTAGAAAAAATATTTTAATTTAAGAAATTACAGAATTCATATTTCAATGTTAACTTCATTACAGTATACATCCATATATAAATTTCAGAAATTATAACATGTGCTCATACCTTGTAATAAGGTCCATCTTCATGTATTACGTTCAAAAATGTTAAAATATAACAATTTATTAAGTATTTTGACAAGACCATTTTCTATGAATTAAAATAACGGTGTAATTTAATTAAATGTCGTTTTATTTACATGAAACTTTACCAAGTTATGGTAAAATGAATTTTAAAATTGCGGGGTCTACTAAGTCAACTTTCTTAAATCTTTTACGCTAAAATGTTATGTCAAACAATAAACTACCATAAACTGAAATAAAAAACAATCTCACAGCCTATCTGACCAAAAGTGACACACGTAGACACCTTTTTTTTTTTGCGGATGGAAAATCATCAAATGACGCCTTTCGCTCTGGGTGGAGCGGAAGGGAGTGTCAGACTTTTACTGACTAAAAACCATCCGTGTTCCTTCAGTGCCCTTACGTTCCGGAGCCGCGGTATCTCTTTCAAACAGCCCGCAGCCCCGGCAGGTGTCGGCCCTTGCGGGCCCCTTCACGCTGCTGACAGCTCTTTGAGGCGCGCGTGGAACAAAACGCGCCGTCGACACGGCCTGTCGTCGTTAGACGGACGGACGGCGAGCTACCCATTGCTCGCCGTCCCCAGGCCCGAGCCTACGGTGGCCGGGGGCCACGACGTAGCCCCCGACGCCCGGGGCGTCTCCCGCGGCGGCCGGGAAGGAAAGCTGCTGCTCTCTCCTTCTTCCGCTCCGCCACCTCCTTCGCTAGCATCACTGCTTCGCAGAAGGTGGTGACGGCATCTCATTCCGTCTCGCTCCGGACCATGGCTGCGACCAGGGCCGGACACGAGAGGTCGCCGCCGCCTATCGCCGCAACGAGGACACGGCGGTGCTCCGCCCAGGCAGGGCACACCTCCACGGTGTGCTCCACCGTGTCCTCCGGTCGATCCTCGCAGTGGGAGCACCCGGGCGTTTTCTCCCGCCCGATTCGGTGCAGGAACCTCCCGAACACACCGTGTCCGGTGAGGACCTGCGTCAGGCGGAAGGTGAGGACGCCGTGGCGTCTCTCAAGCCACTCCTCAAAGAGGGGTCTTATCGCCGCTATAGTGGCGTGCCCAGCACGGGGTTGCGACAGTCGATCTCTCCATGTCGCCATGAGATCATGCCGGAAGTCTGTCCGCTGCACGATAACTTGCCGCGGCAGCGGGGTTTCCCCCCGGCACAGTGCCTCCGCGCGCCATTCGTGCAGGCGCGCGAGGACTATCGCCTCCAGATCCCATGGCGGCAATCCGGCAAGGAGGCACGCTGCCTTGTGAGAGATCGTGCGGTAGCCGCGCACCATTCTCACGGCAACCACCTTTTGGGGCGCGTTCAGGTGGTGGACGGCCAGCCGCGCCAAACCACGCGCCCACACTGGGGCCCCGTAAAGGGCCATGGACCGCACAATCCCTGCGTAGAGCCTCCGGCAGGAGGCGTTTGGCCCCCCCAGGTTCAGCAGAAGCCGCCTGAAGGCAGCCCCGGTCCGTTCCAGTTTGGGAGCCAAACGTCGGAAGTGCTCAACGAAGTTCCATCGGCCGTCGAGGACGAGTCCTAGGTACTTCAACGTCGACTCGACGCCGATGGATACCCCTCCTACCATCGCTGAGGATCCCGGTGGTGGCCTGTTCCGAGGACCATGGAAGTGCATGGCCTCGGACTTGTGCAGAGCCACCTCAAGACCCAGCTGCCGGATCCTCTCAACGACTATCGCAACCCCGCGTGTCATAGTTTCCGCCGCCGCCTCGTACGACCCCCCCTGTGCCAGTACCAGCGTGTCGTCAGCGTAGCAAACTACGCTGACTCCGGTAGGGAGGTCGGCGCGCAGCACCCAGTCGTAACCGATGTTCCACAGGGGCGGCCCCAGAACCGAACCTTGTGGGACACGGCACGACATCTCTCGCCGGTTCCACTCACAGTTGCGACCGGGGTAGATGACGGCCCTAATCGTCAGATAGCCCCCGACTATACGAC